CACTAAGTACACATTAAAATTTTTATTCTCATCCTTCTAGTCGTTTTCAACCACACATTTTTCAATAAAATAATATTTTTCATCACATCAATAACTTTTCCTTCTTTTTCAACCACACATTCTCCATCAATCTATTATTTCAGAATACATTCTTCCAAAAAATAGAATTTGGAAATTGCTATTAGGTGGATTCACTACGTTGAGAGAGCTCTTGAACTATTAATCCTCTTGGGGAGAAGGTCGGAATCTATTTGGTAATCCTTCTTTTTCATTGCAATATTTGTACAGATGAAAGGCACAATAATTTGCATAACTGCATTATACCTTATGACGTGTCAAAGAATCGATGTGTCTAGCCAAAAACACATTAATATAATGAATAATAATGCATGATATATTGTGAAACGGCAAAATAGACAAAAGTACATTGTGATACATGACGTGAAAAAATCTAAATGAATACATATATCTGTTCGGAATTTATTTAATCATATACAACGGAAAATAAATTATTTTTCAATTCCCACCACGGATCTACTTTATATTTAGATAGAAATTGTGTTTAGAATAATACCTATGATGAATTCTGCAAACTCTTTTGCTGATTCTCGAACTCGAATGATCATAATTTGCAATCCAAACTATCCAATTGTCCAACCTCCAATGATGATCCACACATACAACAAGAATGACGACTAGAATTTTCTTTTTTTTGTGCTATCAAGAATAATGAATTATTTCATTACAATTTTCAAACCCTAGAGCCTATTAATATAAGTCCAAGCGGACTTGACCCTTCCGTTAAACTTAACCCGATTCAATATTTAATTAATCAAATTAAATCTGGCTCATGAATTAATTAATTAATTCGGGTCTATCAATAAACAACCATATTAATTAATTATCCAACACTTGTCAATTAATTAATTGATAAATTTCATTCTTCTGGTTCTCTTTTGTGTGTGATCTATTATGTTCCCGATTATGATGCCAACGACGTGAATTATTATTTTGATATAATCAAAACTGATAAATTAAAATACCTCTTTTAATTTATCATCAATTCACATCCGTCGTCCCAAATTGACATATAGCAATGTGTCATGGCAATACATGTGACGGGAAATATCACATAGTGTGACAAAACCAAATTTGTTCGTTTACCGTGAAACTATAATTTTTTCATCAATACGATCCGATTAATTATGAGATATGGATATGTGTCAATCTCAATTATCGATCGTATCCTTTATCCCACTCTTAAGTCAAAGTAAGTCGAAAATTCATTTTAAACTTATGAGTTCACATTGGCCAATGATTTTATTATCAATTTAACTGGATAAAATGTAGATCATAATCTCTTACTATCTAAGAGTGACAAATCATCTATTGATCATTTACAGCCTTTATATGATTATTGACATACCCGAATGATGTTGTATTAACGATCCTTGACAGAGCAACATCCAATATCACCAAAGTATGATTATCCTCATATAAGGTATTATGATGACCTCAAGTCAAATGACCAATTCCACTACCAAACGTTAGAGATTAACCACCGACACTCAGATAGTTATCAATGTGGAATCTCCCAGCGGGTCTCCAATATTTTGTTCTATAACAAAACATAAGTAAAAAATGTCACCACACTTTAACTTGTGAGATCAGCTACTTACTTCACAAGTAAGAATGCCACACGCGATAGTCTATCCGTAATAACGATATCCGTATCTCGTTATTACTTCGACCACGGACGATTTAAGATTCAATCCTCTG